TATATTCTTTTGTAATTTAATATTTATTTTATTAACAAAAGATTTACTTACACCTCTTTTAATTGCAATTTCTCTTTGACTCATCCCAGTCTTTAAATCATCTTCAATTAATACTTTAACATAATTATCGATTTTTTTAGTCAAAAGGGTGTTGTAAAATTTTGTTAAAAAGAAAATATTGGAGGGAAAAATATTTTGTCCACGTTTTTTTGGTCAATTTTTCAAAAATATTTTTTTTAAAGTTTATTTAAAAACATAATTTTTATAAGTATTTTTTTATTTGATTCTAAAACTATCTACTTTGCATTTGTTTCTAATAAAAAATTTCATGATATTTCTTTATTGATGATATTTTTCATTTTTTTACTTGTCCACGTTTTTTTGAGCAATACTATATAATATTAAAAAACTATCTCTGGAAATTTGTAGTTGTTTACATTGATGATATAATAATTTATTCGGATACACCAGAGGAACATCAGAAACACGTTGCAATTGTTAAGAGATACTTTCTAAGCATGGTTTTAGTCTTAATGAAGACAAGTATGAATTTTTTAAGGACAAATTACAAATTTTAGGACATGTGATCTCAAATGAAGAAATAAAACCATCTGAATCAAAAATTGAAGCCATTAATAATACAAAACTTCCAAAGAAAAGAAATGAATTGCAGTTATTTTTAGGTTTGGTTCAATATTGCAGAAGATTCATAAAGGACCTTGCAAAAATTTCTGCACCACTTTATGAAATGTTGACTCGTCTAGTAAAGCGTAAAAAAACAACAGATTCCGGATTAAAAAAATTTTGTAGATTGTTTTAAAAGAGTAAGAGACAGCATTTCAAAGCATTGTTTATTGAGCTCACCTGACATGAGACATCCTTTCATTTTAACAACTGATGCTTCCGATATTGGAATTGGTTCTGTTCTATCTCAAAAAATTAATGGTGAAGAAAAAATGATTGCCTATTTTAGTAAAATACATAGTGCAGCGCAAAAGAATTATTCCACAACGGAGCAAGAGTTACTTGCTGTGGTTAAATCTATTGAACATTTTTCACATTACCTAGTTTGTCAAAAATTTATACTTAACACAGATCACAAGTCATTGATTTATTTGCTGAAGAATCCCAGTAAAAATCAACGACTTTTCAGATGGGCTTTAGCAGTTCAAGAATTTAATTTTGAAATTATGCATGTAAAAGACATTGAAAATTTTTCAGACTTATTAAGTAGAGGATTTAGTAATATAACAGTCAATACGATAAAAGGTAAAAGAGACATTATAATACTTAGAACATGGGAAATAAGAAATATACTTGCCAATACCTATCATAAGACGGCTCATGGTAATAAAGACATTATGAAATATTTAATAACTAAGTTATATTAGTGGCCAACGCTTAACAAAGACGTAAATACATATATCAGAGATTGTTCAATGTGCCAACAGGAAGTTCGTAGGAGAAGTCAAGAATATCTAGTTTCCTTAAAATCTAGACATATCAATGATATTTGGGAAATTGATTTGATTGAACTACCAGAGTCTTTAGATGATTTTAAGTATGTTTTGACAGGTATTGATGTATATTCTAAGTTTGGATTTATTCATCCTATTATTGACAAGTCGAGTGAAGAGATTTTAATTGGATTAAAAAAATTTATTAAAGAAGTGGGTAAGCCCAATAAGATATTAAGCGATAATGGGTTGGAATTTAAGAATAATAGAGTTGAAGGTTATCTATTAGCTATGCAAATTGAAATTAAGCATGGATCTCCGTACACGCCAACAACGCAAGGGGTAATTGAAAGATTCAATAGAACTTTTAAAAGTAAATTAAGAAGAACACGTGAGTTTGGAAAATTAGATTGGAAGAATGAGTTAAAAGTGATTATAAAAGGCTATAATTACTGTAAATCTAGAGCTACAGGATATGCACCTATAGAATTTTTCAATGGAAGTCTATGTATCGATGCAGATAACAACATTTTTTTAAAGACAATAGTTTAAGAGAAATGGAAAAGAATAGAGAGAATACTTAGAAAACTATTAGAAAGAATATTGCTATAAAGGAAAATACTCTGAAATTTTTAAGGCAGGGGATAGAGTTTGGTATAGTACACCTAATCAAGCTAAAAATAGTCTTTCTCCCAAATGGGACAAAAAAGCAGTTATTTTTAGTACTGGATATAATTACTCGAATATTCAGTTAGAGGAGGGTAGCATTAAAACTACTAGCAACAGAAGTTTGTAGTTGAGATTCTAAAAAAGGGGGTGTAGTGTTGGATAGAACATTCTTTTTATTATTATTATAAAAATTTTACCCTTATTTAAAAAATGAGTGAAACAAATAAATTAGTTGATTCCAACAGTCTCATCTCCTGTTATTCCTGAATCTAGTTTCATCTCACGATGTGGCTGATCTTTAAAATAACAAAAGATGAGCTTTACTATCTTTTGAACTGGTATTGCAACCCTGCTTTTACCCTTCTTTTCATAAGAAAAGAATGTATTTTTAAAGAGAGACCTCTCTTTATTACAGGGTCTGCAACGGAGGAGGAAGCTGTCACAGTACTTCTTTCTTCTCGTCCTTAGGAATGTGGATCCTTTACAATATATGCATCGCCATTCGTCCTTGGTGGTAGCACA